TCACAGTATGTAATAATAATAATGCTCACCAAGAACCACCTCCTAATTCATTTATTCACACTCACGAAAGGCTAAAAGGCAAACAAATGGGAGAAATAAGCTGAAATTGGTGCAACGTAATGAATGTATTGTAAAAGCAAGGAATTAATCAAATGCCAAAAACCTTGGGAAGTGATAATCAGTTCAATCAGGTCTGCAAGACAGTGCATGTGTTAGAAAGATGGTGGAAAGGAAATTGAAAAAAAAAGCGTGGTGTGTGGAGAAAGTCTGGAATGAGCTGCTAATCAAACGGGACATTTCATTAGCATTGTCATGACAAACAGCATAATAATAACAAAATATAACAACAACAACAACAACAAGAGTGTGATGTATGACACACTGAAACTGACATTTCACAGATGACCAATTTATGGAAATTAATAACACATGTTGTAAGTCTTGTATTTCTACGATTGTAGAGTTATGCAGTATTCTTATATATGTGTGGTTGTTGTTGTTGTTGTTTGTTTTATAGGATTTGTAACGCAACGAAGAAAACAAAGGTGCAAAAAAACACGAAGGCACACACACAAGTGTTTGCCAATTAGCAAGTTGGTTGCGGGGTTGGAGTGGTAATTAGGCTTTCCAGTCGGCTGGTGTCTGTGTACAGCTTATAGCTGAGACTGGTCCAAAGCTAAACGCCTCGCTATTTGTCCAGCAATTATGTCAGGTCCCCATGTCACAGTACAGACGTGACCAATTAGCTGTGCCAAGCTGAAGTGAAAGAGATGGATTATGGCAGAAGAGATGGGAGAGGATGAAGAAGTAGACAGAGAACGAGTGTGGGGGTGTTAGTGGGAACTAGTAAACGGGGGAGAGCGAGGGATTGTCTGTAAGGAGAATAAAGGGAGACAGAGTTTGGCTTTGGAAATGAGGGGGAAGGAGTGGGTAAGGAAGGTTTAAGGGAGCGGATTATTTATTTGTTCTATTGCTTTGTGATCATGTTTTGCATTGATCCTCGTCCTGACCGACATGTGGCAAAGACATGCTAATGGATTGCGATATTTATGCTAATTGAGCCTCAGGGATAAGAAATTGATCTTAATTGACATATCAATAATTCCCCTGCGCATTATATGGCATATTTTGATGAAACAGGCCTGCACAGAATCAATATTCTGCAGCTTGGAGTAATGGGACACTATGTCAATAGCTGTAGTAAAGTATACAGTGCTCTAGTTCATCTTGGTATTGGTCCATATTTGCCTCAAACGGACAGATTATACTACGTATTAAGCACTGAAGGAGTATCACCAATCTGGGCTAGTCAAAACAAATCAAAATCGATGATATGGTTCCCAATCTGTTTCAGGATACATGCAGTATCATTGTAAATAATTACATTTCCTCTACATGGGATTGTTAACTTTTATTCTGCCAAAGAGGTGCCAAAAAAAAGGAGACTTTTTGGCCGTGAAATGCTGCTGGACATTTAATAAAGTGTGTCCATCGTCTAACAAGAACAGTTAAAAACAAGAAGCTGTAGAAGTTTGGAAGATCTGAGATGAAATGTATTCTGCCTGCTGCAACACAAAAATAACCCACATAATCCTCTGAAACTTCTCCGAGCACATCTAGGGGGGAGCGGGATCTGCTCTATCCAGACACTGAGACCACCCATTCCAAGACTCTGTATTTAATTGGACAGGGAAAGGGAGAAGAGGGGAGCCAGGGGACAAGGCGAGGGACAGATGAGGTAGAATCTATGATCTGAGCATCTCTCGTTTTTTGCTGAAAAACAAGACTGTTGGCTCGGTGCCTGCAGAGATGAGAGGAGCTCGTATAAATTAGTGGGTTGAAAGACAATATAGGGAGCTTTAGTGTTACATGCCACTGATATGGTTCTATGGATTGCTAACGTTTTGATTTAGTTGTGACGACATGTTTTGAAAACCTTTTTTTGGCAGAAAGAACATCAACTCCCATTGTGATGGTAACCTTCGAATAATAGTGCTGATGTTCGGTATTCCTCTGGTCAGATGTACAATTAAACTAGGGCTTTTCTCAGCTAAATTTGTTACACTACTTTACAAAAGTGGTCTTTACCTTGTAGTAGGAACTTCAATGATAGTGAGCACCTTAGCGGCTGAAAGAGCATTAGAAATAGATGAACTCTGGGTAACTTTTCCCACGGATCAATATCCATTCATCATGCGCCTGTAGCTATAAAGATGAAAGACAGCATTATAAACAAACAGTGTTACTCTAAATGTCCTAAAGCCTTTTGGGGAAATGCAGGCTTAACCTGCCTCAAAGTCAAATCAGAGACTTGTACACTGAGCAAGAATAAGACATTTGCCAAGTTTAAAATATTTATCTGAAGCAGGTGGTTATCTGAATGGAGTTTCTGGTACCACTTTATCAACAAGACATTTTACTGATAAATGCTGAAAAACAGCATTATGTCCTGGAAATTGTTATGGGAGGAAGAGACGGCCATAAATGATAAGCAATTAAATGTTATGTGTTTGTCTTGGGTGATTCCTCAACTGGAGAGCATGAGTGTGATTATGAGCTGGCATGGTACCTTATGGAAGAATAATTAAGTCCACATGGGTGAGTTATCTTTTGAAAAACAAAAAAAACACAAACTCAGGAGATCGGGTCACATTTCTTAAATAATTTAATTGCAAAAGGGTCTTTTAAAAATATTTCTACAAGAATGCATCATCATTTTTAGTAATTGTTTGTGTATGCCTGCACCATTAAATACATCTTAATGCTTTTCAAAGAGGAATTAACAATTGCATTTCTCAGCACTTTACTCTGTCCCCCTTTGCAGTTCACTATACATTTACTCTCACTTCCTTGTAACAAGAGGAGCTTACAAAAGTAAACAAAAGACAGATGTGGAGTTAGCTTGTTAGAGGACAGAAGAAAAGACAGTACTGTATATATTTATTCAAAACAGACAACTGAAGGAAAGAAAATTAGAGTTGTTAGTGTATGGTTTACGGGAAGAGTGAGTGTGTTTGATGATCTGTGATGGATGTAAAATAGGAAAGGAAAGGTGGAAGGAATGTTGGGAAAGTTTGAATCTTATTGGCACACAAAGAGATACCACATCTGAAAAAGCCTAACCTCTGCTGATCAAAGTGTTTCTGTATAAAATAGAAACCTTTTTTTACACACGAACAAACATAACAGTCGATCTTAATTTCAGCAAGCATCTGCAAGAGGGCTTTCTTTCCGTGAATGTTAAGTATGAAACACTGCCATGAATGTCTGAAAGATCCACTTAATGATTAATTGTTTTCAGTTGATGTGGTGGCAGTTTAATCATTTTAAGATGCGCTACAGTGCCAGTTGAGCTCATCACTCACGGCCAGTTGAATTTGGTGAACACAACTCCAGGCCACAGCGCACCATGTGCACCTCATCAATGGTTCAAGCTCCAAAGCGCTGCCATTTTTCACGAGTGGGCATGTCTGCCATCTGATTGTGTTAGCCCCCATTTGCCCCCCTCCTCTATTTGTATGCTCATCAGTGTCTTTTTGGTGCCACAATCGACTCTACAACAGTGGGGCTTAGCTGATTGAATAATTGAGCTCAGTGCAGAAGGGAGTACAATTGAATATTCCTGGGAGACTTTGGGTAAAAGTGAGCTTCTGATTGCATTAATTCTGCTCTTCTCTCATTTCCAAAAGTCACTCGTTTCCAATCAAAATGATGTTTTAGCTTTGGGGAGAAACAAAATAAATCTGCAGAATTATATGAAGACAAATGTTTGCTTAACTAACAAGTATTTTGAGCACATTCTCATCAAAATAATAGATAACACTGGCAATACAAGCGCTTCTGATTCTCAGCCATCAGAAAACTGCACTTCCACTGGTGAAAACAATGAAGGGATATGAGACTTAATTCCTGTAGTTTGAGAACACAACAGTCAAATTACTACTTGATTGTGTGCTACAACTGTTACAGGTTTATACGGTACTAGAATAATTAAAAACGTTTGTATGTAGATTAAGATGAAACAATATCAAACAGGGAACATGTGTTTTTGCATAATATCCTCCATGGCTTTTTAAAAGGACTTGAAAGAGGCTGACTAAAGTAAAATGGGAAGACAATGCTTAGCCGCTAACATCATGCTATTATTACACAGCTCACTAATATTATTCACATATTGCATTGATCAGCTCCAACCCGAACAATATGGACTCTGTCTGGAAGATCACAGCAGCGGTGCAGCCCCATCCCACAATCCACTACTATCAAACACCCCTCAGTGAGAAGTACAAATAGTACATTCTCCGTGATGCAGCTGCTATCATTTAGGATGAGGGGGTCTGCAGATTTGTTTCTGTCTGCGTGCCAGGGCTGTTGATCCTGCACTGTACTAATCACGCAGCAGCCTGAGCTGAGACAGGATGATTGCAGGTCAGACAGGAAATGAAGAGAGATAATGATAGGTCAGAACCCTGTATGTCTGCGCTCACTGGATGCTCGTATACTCACAATGCCAGATTGGCTGCTGCATTAATCGAGCTGACGGACAAAGACCAATAGGTTTCTCTTGACAGCTCTGGATTCTCTGATGAGGATCCTGTTGCAGGAAGGCAAACTGCAGGTCTACTGATGGAGCTCTGCCTCTGGGGTGATTGAAATGATTGGTTGCATCATCTCTGAACATTCTCCCTAATGATACCTTAAGAGTTGTACATAATACTCTTCAGTATAAACAGTTTAGGAGGACCCTTTTGTTGGAGGTGATGGTACATAAGACACATGAAAAACCTAGGTAAACATTTGAGTGGTTTGCAGGAGTATTTGAGTTTAAATTAATGTGACTAGAAGACAATTAGTAACAGCTCAGTGGTTCACAGATGCTCTGTATATTAAGAATGAGAATGGATTGCGGAAGCATCATATCCAGGTCAGGTGGCACACACACTGAATGCACCTACACCAACACTCGCACAACAATGGATGAATAACAAAAGGGCAACATGTTGTTATAGCTCTCTCTCTCCTGACTTTCTCTTTTTTTACTTTTCGTTCTGTTAATTTCACTCTAAATCAAACATCACAACACTTTCATTTTGTCAAAACACCATTTTTCTTTTGTTATTTATAGTATTTTTGTTACAAAACATTTACAGGCTGTTTAGAACAACAACAAAAATACAATATCCAATTTATATGCAATTTCTTTTGTTTAATAATCAGCAATTCATTAGGCGAATCCTCTTTGAGTCTCTCTTCCTTCTGATTGTTCCAAGTCCACTGTCCCAAATTCAGTCCATCTGGGGGTTGGTGGGGGGCGGGGATTGGTAGGTGAGGTACAAATAAATACATAGGGCAGGATGTCAAGATATTAAAATAAGAATTTTGATTATTTCTAAATCCAGATGGTGTCCATCATGGTTTCTCTCAGTCTCTGCATTGTACATATATATAGATGTATATATATATATGTTGTGAGTTCATTTTTTGGATTCAATTAAAAATAATGTTTAACAGTTGTCCACAGAATATAGCGTAGTTGTTTCAGATATATTTGCTCCATGTCACAGTTCAGTTCATGCGGTTCATCAGTTAATTCTCCACGGTGGCAAATAGCGGAAGCTGTATTGTACAGTATACTTGTGTGCAACTTGACACACCCACACATCCAAGCACACTTAATCACACATACACGCACATAAGTGCACGCACGCACACATACAAAAACGCACACAAAAGGCCAAGTGGTCTTTCTATAGTGTTGCCACAGTCCTCGGCTCCCCTTAATCACATACAGCGTTCAGTTGGGGTACTTAGGTTTGACTGGCCATTTTGAAACCACAAATCTCCCAAAAATGTGTAAGAAAGCCAAAAAAAAGAAGAAAAAAAGTGTGTGGACGAATAAAAATAAAACACTTGTATTTGTAAAAGAACAGATGATGAGCAGGTGATCCCAAGCTGTGGAGCTATCCTGAGTCACTTCAGGTCAGGGTGAAGAGTTCATCTTGTGACCTATGGAGGATTCAGCAAAAGTGTCCAAAAATGTGGCTGGCCTCCTTTGACCTTTTCGACCTCTGTCATCCTCTTGACCTTTGACCTCAGCCCATCATACATTTTCTTCCACCACCTCACCCTTATCCAGCAAGTGTATAATACACCTTCAATATGAAGATGGAGAATGACACGCGTGCACAGTGAAACCACTGCTATCAGGGAAATAATGGTCCCGTATGTCCTGTGGGTCCAAAACATCTCGGTTTTTGTTTTCCTTCTTTTGGGAGTGAGCATTTGTTCACTTGTTTTTATACCAGGGCGTTCATTCTGTACTGGTTATAACGTTCATCAAAGCTGGGTTGAGAGGTCATGGGGAGTGTTACATTTCAGTTACAGGGCTAAGGCCAACCTCACTAAAACACACATGCATGCAAATGTCAACCCACACCGGAGCTAAAGAGGCACGCATGGGGTATAAGGGGGTTTACTCTTCTTCCTCTTTCAAAAACACACACATTCTCATTGGATGGAAAAGCAACAATGGCGAATAACACAAAATCAGGAACAGGAAGTGGTAGTGAAAAAAAAAAAAATTGTCAGAGGCACTGCAAGCCAGTTTTATAGCGTCTAATTGGCAGAGATGGGTCAGGCAGCTAGGGTTTTCCAATGGCTCTCTCTGGCACAGTTCCTCCCCCTTTTTCCTGTCTGGCTGTCCGTCGACTGCATGGGTTTATGTGTCCTGTCGCTCACACCTGGACAGGAAGTGTTTGGTTCATCTGTAGTCTCATGTCCTGAATGCTACCGAGAATCTTCTTCTGATGGCCGGCCAGCGTTACTCCTATCCGAAGCAAGTCCCTGTTGAGAGAGAAAAAAATAAGAGCAGGTGGCTCAGTCATAAAAAAGACTTAGAGTGAACATTGCATGAAGGAAGTTGAAGTGCAAATTTTACTTCTCACCCACAAGTAAACACACACTCTACAATGTGGAAACAGAGACCGCAGCATCTTGGCAATAACCCATTAAATGGCTACCAGAGGTTATGTCAACAAAATGGGAACACTCACCCAGCTATAGTTAATGCTTGTCTTAATGCAACATACTTCTGTTTCCCAGCAGATGCGCAAGAGTATGGGAGTCAAAGGGCCATAATGTTATAGTTAATGATTAAAGAGTAAACTTAGCTACTGTTCGGCAGATGGCAGACTTTACAGAGTCCACACCAACCTGCCACTTAGCTACAGAAACAGGGAAGCGGTTTATTTTTTTGTAAGATACAAGACAGATTACTCTGTATGGAGACTGTCATTCATGCTTAGAGTGGTTCTGTGTTCCAGTAAATCAGCTTTAACTTTGTCACTGTTGCACAGTATTCCTCACAGCTTAAAAATATCCAAGAAAAACTACAGCAAATAAGACTGGAAGATTGTAAATAATGTTTGTAGCTGAGCGCTCACATCAGCTAGAGGGCCTTAACCTGTGGTTGACGGTGTAGTGGGAAAATATGAAGACATTGACATACAGTTGACATTACTTCACCCTTAAAAAAGCCTGGGAGAGTGCACCTGCTTTGGCTGTCATTAGTCAGACGGCATAATCTAATCAGCACGGCCATGTTGGTTTAACGCTCCACAATTATATCACAAGAACCTCTCTCTTCCGCTCTCTTGTTTGATTTCCCTAGTTGATAGCTAAGGAGAGAGCGGACGGCGTCTGGGGCAGAGATTAGCTCACTGCTGGGGTTCTGCCACAGTCTGCGTCCTCTCCGTTTAGTCACACACACACACACACACACACACACACACACACACACACACACACACACACACACACACACACACACACACACACACACACACACACACACACACACACACACACACACACTCTCCTGATAATCTAATATTATACCCAGACACCAAAGACTCTGCTTGTCTCAATGACTTTGCGGCCCCATCCATTTTAGTACATAAGTGTGCACCTAAACTCACACCCTTGCACATGTACTTGTGCACACACACACAGATCCATACTTCACATCCATTCTCTGCAAAGCCAAATAAGGGTGCACTGCAATTTCACACAAATAAATGGTGTTTTTTTTGTTTTTTTTATATATTTCGCCACCCCCATCAGTGCAGCAACGGAGGATGAAATGATAATAAATGGGCACCATTAGAGGAATTACTGGCCATTAAAGGAAACGAAGAGCCACAGTACGTCACACCTGTCAGCCTGGCCAAATTGAAACAGATTACCCCCACCTCCATTGCTTATTATGCAACTAATGAGGGTAATTTATTTATCATTATAATCTTAATTAATTTATTTGATCATCAGCGGCTTCCAATTTCCATGACTTACATTACATAATTTCCTGTTTGTAAACACGAGAATCGTCAAGGTCAACTGGACATTGTAGTTAAGGAAGCAGGGACGAGTGTTTTCTAAGAAAATGTACTGCGCTGTTAAATTGTGTATTTGTCCATTGTGTATCAGGTTTCCTGGCTTTCAAAGCAGGTGATTGTTATTAGTTCCATCCTGATTACATAATACTCTACGGCGAACTATCATGATTGGTCAATTACATACCAAATCACAGCAAAAGCATGGATAATCTTCTGATTTTACATTTTCTTTTGTACCTGTTTAACAACCGTGTTTTTTTACATTTTGTGGACATAACTACTGAAACTAATAACAATAAAAGGCATGGTAGATATATTTCTTCTACATTTACCAGAATAAGTTACGCTTTATGTTTTATTTTTTATATCTGTTTATCATGTTATGTTAAAGCCTAATCAGAGCCCCCTTCTGCATCTTGTGTTTGATTTAGCCTTAAGACTATATTTATTCTCTCAAGGTCATTCTCTATGACTAATTTGACTCTCAAACTCAGTCTCAGTCAATCACTTTAGGCCTGATTAGCGGAATCTACTCTCTCCACTCACTCTGCCGTCATCTGGGCCACCAGGTCAAAAGAAGCAAATCCGGCGTTGACGAAGTTGTCACGGTAGCGGTTCATCTTGATGGCGTCCAGCCAGTCCCCCACAGTGGTGAAAGTGGTATAGTCTGGCACACAGCGGTCAAGCAAGGGCTGGGATACCCTACTTAGGAAGGGAGGGGGGGAGGAGGGAGAAAGAGAAACAGAGAGAGAGGGTTAAGGTCGTCACTCTACTGCCAATACCGGCCAACCTCACCCCCAAATGCGCCCGCCGAGCGCCACCTCTCCATTTCTCCACCTATCCTCCTCTTTTCTCCCCTCTCCTCTCCTTCACATGTCAGGAGTTGTGTGCATGGGGGTGGGTAGGGGGGTCACTTTTATGACTGTGGAGAAACTGGCTGGAGGCTTGGGTGGCGGATGCTGGTGAGGTAAGGTGGTGCGTGTTCATAGAGCAGATTTCAAATCTGCACTTCAATGATGACTAAACAAGGAACTGAAATATACAACGAACCAGATCAAATGTATCTTTAATTACAGGTTGCATATGCCCAAGTGAGTATTTTTGTCGAGAATGCATTTACGTGGCAGCATCAGTCATGTAGGAATGTGGAATGTGTCATTCCTATTGGAAACCCTTGACGTAAATGCTCTCTTCCTGTTTGTTGATTCCTGTCCTTCTTGTTTCAACTGTCTCAAACAACACACACAAATGTGGTTTGAATTTGATGTGGGAATATTTGTTTTCTCCTGGTCAACTTAAAACAGATGTTATGTCTCCTTATGAACATGTGCATAACAAGCAGGTTATATGCTTTATGCCTTGTAGTTCATTTTCTCAGGGTGTGTTTGAATATATATGCAGAACGTCATCTAAGGTCTTCCAGACAAATAGGATCCATGCCACACAAATGACAAAAATACTTCATGACAAAGGAGGAATGTAAACACAGATGTTGTTCACATGTGTGTGGAGTTGAATGGCATGACTCATGTACCTGGAGACACTCTCAATACTGGGTATTGTAGAATGCGTTTGACTCTGCGTCTATGTGTATATCGAAGTCTATAGCTGTTCAATCTTTTTAATTTTTTTATGGATTCATCAAAATAGTTTTTGATTGTGTTTTGCATGTTCGTGAACACCTGTTGATAGACCAAAAGAGCCTTTTCAAGAAAAAACCAAACCCCCTAGCTGATCAATGCTGTAGATAGAGAGGCCACCTTGGGAGTTTTAATAAAACTGCGCTACAACTTGGAGAGAAGTGGAGCGAATGAACAAGAGAAGAGGTCGAGGTGGAGGGGGAAACAAGGAGGTGCGGGGAGCTGAAGGAGGAGAAACAGATGAAGAGAAGGCAAAGAGAAAGAGCACCACTGTCTCCTCTCTGCTCTGTTGATCCCTGTCATCCTTTTTGATGGCATTAGATTCATTAACAATTATAAGAGGAATGGAGAGTGAAAGAGGGAGAAAAGAAAAAGGCATGGAGGGGGAGTTAATAACAGTGATACAGAGGCTCCATTGAGTGGTGTAGATGGAGTGATTTTTAATAAGGCCTTTGCTGCAGAGCCCAAGGCCTCGGGCCATCGTTAAGGCAAGGCTCTGGCTTCTCTTAATGGAGTATTGTTAGTCCTCTAAAGTCTCTAAAGTTGGCTTCAAAAGGATCCAAACCATAGCTGGCCACATGTGAGCCACAAGCAGAAGCACAGCAGGAACACTTTGTAATATGCTAGTTAGTGAGACAGTAACAACCCAAACGCAAGGTTGGGACTGTCAAGGTTTCTCCAAAGGGTTAGCTTTTTTAGACTGTTTTCGTATCTTTAGGAAGTTTAGAGATGTCTGCATTTACGACAACTACTACATTCCAGAAAAATAAACAGGAATGACTCATGAAATTGGTGCTGGAAGCCTTACATCACAAAATCCCAGTGGCTTATTCCACACCTGCCATATTCAGTCATGTCAAGTATATATTACACAATAAAACAGATGACTTTTATCCCAGACAGTGTTAGCTAACCTCCAGCCACCCTTCAATGGCGACCAGGACGACGCTATCACCTCTCACTCCTCCCTTGTTAGGTTTGTCGGCAGGAGGCCACCTCTCCGCTGGCCCGTTTAAAATCTCGTTAGTGGCTAATTAAAAGATGCTCCCATCTCTTTTTTACATCTCCTTAATCGAGCTAATTAACCGCCAGCTTCTAAGAACGTCGCTCCAGTGGCCAACCGAGACCCTGGTTTCCCCCGTGAGCCTAAACCAGGATTGTCTGTGGCCCTCCCTCAAGACAGAAAGACCCTGATGCAGGGACAGAAAGGTAGGTCATCCCCCTTCTTATCGCTTCGACTCCGCCACCTTCTATCTTTCAAATTCTTTCCAAGAACAGGTTGCAGAGGAAGGTAGTGCAGCTAAATGTGGATGTGACATCATTGATTTAGTTCCCAGTTGGTAGAGGAGTCGCTCTAAGGACTGCATTGAGCCATGGTAATTTGGATTTGCATAAGGGCCCTGGCTGCATTTGTGAGAACTACAGAGTTGTTTGCAAAGAAATCTTCCCTTTATAGAAGTTAAGAGATTGTAAAAGCTGAGTCAGAGAGACTCGCCGACACCGTATCAGCTTGGTAAAGGAATATTTGCACAGCGGAAATCCTTTTAGTGGTTTCTCTGGCTCAGGTGCAGATAAAATGGCTTGGCCTGGACTCTCACGGCTTAAAAGTCAAGTGACTTAATTAAATAAACGAATGACCTATTACGCAGTCCAGCAGGTCTGCTTAACATATGACATAAGAAAACCATAGAAGATTTTAAGAAAAGCAATCAGAACTAATATCCATTATGCAATGATCATAATGAGACATTATTGCCCATTATGAACATCACCAATCCAACCTAATACAACTCAAAATGGACCTCCAGAGAAAATATCTTCACGGTTAAGTCTATTTCAATAATCACCAGCTTCATGGAGCTACACAACATACAACCTTTGACTTAAAGCTTTGATTTACTTGGCTTACATACTGATTTTGAACTTTAAGTGACCAACTTGATTTTAAGGACCTTACCCAGTGGATTGTGCGCTGTTGGTGACCACTTTGAGGCTGGCAGCATTGCGGATAAGTTTATCCAGCGTGGCTACAATCTGGGTGAATTTGGGTCGCAGGTTCCTCTCTTTCACCCAGCAGTCCAACATGAGCTGGTGCAGTGCTGTGGGGCAGTCCATGGGCGGGGGCAGTCGATAGTCCTGCTCCACGGCATTTATCACCTGAGAAAGAATGACAGAAATACCACAATCAGTTCTAATCTCCAAGTGTGGTGTAGAGAGAGGATGTAACACAAGAAGAGAGATGAGTCGATAAATATAGCAAGTAAGGGTGGACAGAAGAGGATAAATGAGGGAAATAATGGGAGAGTCAGAGATAAACAGGAACAATCCTTAAGGAAATGCATAGATATAAGGGCCAAAGAAAAATCAGCTTGCATGGTAGTTGTGGGTGGGAGTAAGGACAGTAATGGCAGAAGTGGTTAGAAAATGTCTACACTTATCTTTTATTGAAAAATGCTACTGTTTAATGCAGAATATTTAATTAGGGTGGCTTTTTCTCATAAAATATTATATATATATATATATATATATATAGTTCACATTAAGTATGCATATTTCACATTATAAAAAATATGAGCTTACATCTTGATTGCTCATGTCCCAGTAGGGCCGCTCGCCATACGACATCACTTCCCACATGACAATGCCATAGCTCCACACATCACTGGCGGAGGTGAACTTCCTGTAAGCAATCGCCTCGGGAGCCGTCCAGCGAATGGGGATTTTTCCTCCCTGTGGATATGCGAATGAGTATGTGAGCATGAAATACTGGAGGGATGGAACACAAACACAGAATCACACACATACAAGAGGGAGAGAGAGGGTGAGAAAAACACAGTCTAAGGGAAATGTTGATGCACAACACATGGGTGCATGCTGTAGAAGCCAAACATCATGTACACACAAGGTTAGTAAGACAGTTACAGGAAATGATATGTACAAACACATGAAGCTAGAATATTTAATGTGCTACAAGCTGATGTATTAAACATTGATATATCACCATCATAGAACCCTTTCATATAACTACCAGACAAACTAAAATTGGTGGGCTGATTGGTATTTCATGCCAGCACTGTCTCTCAAAGTAAGATACACACTTCCAATTAACACTGTTGCTGTCTGTCACCAAGATGTTTTAACATATCTGGATTACTTTAGTCGAGTTGAACTTGAGAATTATACACCTCATTCTGTTTTTAAGTCAGGAGACCTAAAACTCACAAAGCCAACTTTCTTATACAGGTCAACGGAGTTTGCCTTTCTTTATTCCAGGGCTCATAATATAATTATATAATATCACTATTATACTCGATCTCAAAGGACCCAATCCTATGTGCCCTAGCCTGCTTTTCCAATGTTGTATGTTATGCGACAATAGGAGCAAATCAGTCTTATATATTATAGTCATTTATCGGCTCAGGATTTTTATAGGAAATCTGATATAGCTTCAGTTTAAAGCATTGTATACAATCCCCAATGTGTACATCATTCTGTCTTTTGGAGGTACTTTTGTTATTCCACAATGGAGGAAAATGGGTGATAAACATTCATTTAGCTGCAATATGTATTTTTTGACCTGATCCTGCCTGCGGAAGTGAAACATCTTCTTTCTACCCACAATGGTATTAAACTAAATTAAATGTAATTAAATTAAATCTATTTGTCTGAATGTACTCATACTTGATTATTCTGTGAGTTAGTGAAAGGGGCCAACAATTAACATAATGGTGATGTATTGATGTTAAACCTTACATGTAGCACCTTTAAACATGTATTTACATGAAAATAGACATTAACATGAAAACAGATTGACAAACACAAACACACTCATACTCTGACTCACCAGGGAGCTAGTGTAGGTGGGGTCTGTAGCGTCATCCTCAAGGAAACGAGATAGGCCGAAGTCAGACACTTTACAGACCAGATTACTGTTGACCAAGATGTTACGGGCAGCCAGGTCTCTGTGCACGTAGTTCATATCCGACAGGTACTTCATGCCTGCTGCGATACCACGCAACATGCCAACCAGCTGGATCACTGTGAACTGGCCGTCATTGAGCTGGCAAAGGAACAGAGAAAGCGATAAGGATGGATTGGATTGAAGATCAAGGTTGCATATTCAAAGTAATATGTCTCCTTTTTAGCTTTTTTTCTTACCTTTCTTTCTTTTTTAAGTATCTCTTACAGTACTTTTTTAGCACGTTTCCTATTACTTGCATCTTTCATCACCTAATACATCACACTGTAACGTCTTCCTCTTTTCTACCTATCTATTGTCTGTTCCCTTCTTTTCCCTTTCACTGGCAGACAATGTATGATTTGACTTTAAGGCAGTGATTCATTGGAGACTGAGCTTTTTGTAAATGTCACCAATCGCCTGAATGCAGAATTTGTCAGAGAACCATTGAGCGCTCTGCAGCAGAGCTTAAGAAGACCTTTTATGACTCCGTAGAAAGTGAGATAATTAAAAGCAAGATCAATCAGATTTGAATGGGCTTAGTTGCCGGATAGTGTTGCATTATTGATAAAATCATGGGTACATGCTTTTATTAGAGCTATTCCTATGTGTATTGTGTTTGTGGATGCTGTTTTCTCTCACCCTTAGGAAAGAGTCTAGTGCTCCATTCTCCATGAACTCCGTCACAATCATAACGGGCCGACTCTTGGTGACCACACCTTCCAGACGGATGATGTTGGGGTGGTCAAACTGCCCCATGATGGAAGCTTCAGACAGGAAGTCCCGCCTCTGGCGATCAGTGTAGCCCACTTTGAGAGTCTTGATGGCTACGATGATCTCTCGACGCCCAGGCAGCTTAAGGCGGCCACGACACACTTCTCCAAACTCTCCTGCGAGATCCCACGTGAGCCAGTCATTGAAAAACAGCAAAAGAGGAATAGGAGAGAGAGAAAGAGGGAGGGAGGGGAGAGAGGTATGACGGAAGAGTGGAGGAGAGTGGGGGAAAAGAGGGGAGAGGGGACAGTTAACTGGTTAGCACCAAGGAATCAGGGAAGGGTAGCAGGAGGGGTGGGACATGGGGGACTGCAAGAGAAGCCAGGACTCTCGGCCAGTGTCAAGGGGTGGTGGTGATGGCAGTGCAAACATGACTTTGTGCTGTTAAGCTACGGATTAAAATAAACAGCATGGCCAATGTAAGGTATGAGGATGAAAGTAGAGTTGAAAAAATGTATGTTGAAATTAAATTAAAATAAAAAATGGTTAAAGAAGGGTGACAGGGTGAGAGGAACTGAAAGAGACAGAAGAGGGAGGGCAAGTATCGGGGGAGGGGGGTGCTAAGCTTTGGAGTGGTTGGAGAAGCGGGAGCAGGAGGAAGAGATGGGAGGAGAAAGAAGCTTTGGGGTTCTCGGGGCAGAGGACGCTTTACGTTTAGAGTCTACATTAAGCGTGTGCAAGAAAGCAAGATAAATTAGGCGATGAGTGATGTGTGTGAACAACAGTGAGGGGAAGTCAGAGGAGAGAGGGCAGGGGATGGAGGATTGGATGGATTGAGGAAGGGGGAGAGGAGAGGAGGGGGACAGGGAAGACAGGGGTTGAGGGGTTTGTCACTTAAAGGCGAATGCTTGGAAGCGACGGGTTCAAGTAGTAGCCCCAGGAGTAGAAGAGCTGTCGTAGCAGTAGTAGCAGTATTAATGGTAGTAGCAGAAGCAGTAGTAGGGATTCCCATCTCTGCCATCACAACGTCCTCCATTTTGGCTCAGATACAATGCTAAGAAAACTCAACCTCAATTGGCACATTCCTGCAGCTTTTGAGCAGAGATATTACTATCCAAAATATTTAATACATTTAATATTGTACTATCTACAACATCACGAGGGAGGGTTGCTAAATTGAGGGGACACAATCATATTGCCAGCAAAAGGGTTTAAGGATTGTGATCCAATCGAAGCACTCTTTAATAAAGAGGTTCTTAAGACACTTAAAGGTGGGTAGGGGTCAGAGATGACCAATCCTGGACAAGAAACATTTTAATATATAATACCCCAAGCAGACCAGATCAATATATCATGGGGAATGCACGAGATAAATATTAGCCATGCTCCTTGTTGACAAGAATTGCTTTCAACAACCAGCACATTCCCCATAATACTACACATAAAACAATTTAATGGAAGATAGCCATAACCCATTTACAAAGCCTGTAGGGTCTGATCCTCCACATTGTCTTTCACTAATAACTGTATGTCAATAACCAAGTGTGTTTTTGTAAAACAAATGTATTACACCCCACAGAACTGAAATACAGTCGACTGCTGGTGTTTATGTGTAAATACTAAGAGTTAAATCCTAAAGTGTCTGTATATAAATCTACATACATGGCTTGGACAGGTTTAACATCTCTACTAGCTACATAAAGCCTGTCTGTACTTGACATGCATTGGGCTAAATCTGCAACATTGTTTAGCTTTTCACATATTTAAATTACATACATTTCCTGACATAGAATCTCTCTCTTTCGAGGATTGGGCTCTGTTTTAAAAACACGAGTAAAATTATAATCCTCCATGGTTAACAACATAGGGTGCTAGGTGATTGACGCTAAATTAAAAAGTTCATACTCTAGCTAGTAATACTTTAAACACAGAGTGCTGGAGACATCTGTAATACTGAAAAGGGGTTCCTAACAGGTGGCGAGAGTGGGAGGGGGAGGGAGCAAGGAGAGGGCTAGCGATGAATTGAGTGAAAGTACCGCTTGGTGTGAAGTCCTCTAACGGTATGGCCTGGAGGTGACTAGCAGCCTTCCCCCTGTAGCTCAGGAGCTTTGGTGGGTTACCTGCGCCGATGACCTCCTCGATCTTCACGCAAGAGACGTCGATCTCCTTCGCAAACTCGCGGACAGCCTCGTTGGGGTCCTCATAGGTGAAGGGGTCAATGTAGACTTTCATTCCCGGCGTTACTATAGGGGATTCAGTGGCAAGAACAGGAAAGTGAATCTATGATGTCAAAGGAAACTTTAAAACGATGTAAAGTTCAGAAAACCTATTGTTTCTAACACTTTATTAATGTACTACATGATCAAGCTAATTAGTGTTATGTTGGCTATGGTAAAGGATACTGAGTCGTTGCCAAGTAGAAGATGGGGCATTTATATAGGAAAAATGCTGTTGGTATGTGAATAATGCAAAGAGGAGGGGGCATTTCAGCGAAGAAACTTACTGTACTGCTGCAGTTTCTCTGTGTACTCCGACTCTGAACCATTTCTCTGCTTTCTGTTGAGAAAGATGAAAAAGCAAACTGAGTCACATTGGCTCCACACAGCAGGGAGCAGATGCCAGAAAGGAACAAAGGAGGGAGGGAAAAACAGATCCCTAATAATGTCTGGAAAGATGCAGCCACAGTACATCACGATGTGGCTTTGATAAATGTTTTGTCTTTTTGCATTGGAAGCAAGGGATGCACGGTATTGGATCAATGCCTGGTGCAAATGATTCATACTTGGGGACTGTAACACGAATCTAAACAAAAAGATCTTATATCATTGTCTGATGCAGCAAGTACAAGCCATTTGTGTATCCTCATCATCCTGCACATGTCCCTTATGCACAGTGAGAGGGGAGGGCACAAAGATGATGACAGAGCGAGGGGGCTGGTTTGTTGAAATGACATGTTAATGTGGTTCCTTTGTTGTCTAACCAGTAACCAAGGCAATAATACCCGATGGTGATTTGCATCTTATTTCAAATTCTAATTTGGTTCCGGAATATGCCGAAGCTCTGTGTTTTGTATTATTGCTATTTTTTTCCTCCTTCATCTTCTGTTGCAGTCGGAGCAGTGGCTAAGCCAATACCCTGGGAGAGACACAATGTATAGAGAGTGAAGAAGCAAGACGGAGAGAGAGGTGGGGGAGCAAGGGAGATTATTATTCAGTCTAGCGTGACCGATGCCCACGCTTGTCAGGCACTGCCTGAACTGGCTTGTGGAGGGAACGCTGTGGGTGCTAGTCAGCAGTGGGTGCCAACCTTTCACACATATATACATTCATGCACAGCATTTGCTGCTTGACAAATGAGCGGTATAAGGATAAACGAGTGTGGTTAGACCCAGCTGATGCAATGTCGGACTTGTTGTAAGGTGTGAGCAACAGCTTGCGTCTTCCCAGTCAACTGGGCCCAGCAGACAAGGGTGCCTTGTGGTCTGGCATACACACAGATGTATCTGAGTGCCTGGCCATGACGACAGGCCTATCAGTCCGAACAGCTGCTGCACCATGCTGTGTTCAGTGAGGAGAGTAGCCTTTTGGCCAAAGCTGTTTACTATTCACAGATTCAGAAGGCTAATCTATGTGGTCTCACAGGTGGCCCCGCAATCCGCTGAGACTTTTCTGGGGTGGTTTGGAGGACATGCAAACAAAGTTGACATTTGAAGCCATCTCCATTTTTTTCCACTTGAAGGGAAACTATTATCTCCAAATGTTTCTGTAAGTACTCGCTGTTTGAACATATTTTGAATCAGCGCAGACGTGCTTTGCCACACTCTGACTTTTTAAAGACTGTTAGATACGTTTTATTCTGACCTGAGGCAAACAATAGCGATGACCACAACTGCAATGATGAAGACCAAGGTGGCGGTGGCGGATCCCACGATGAGTGGCAGCTGCTCCTGCCATGACTTTGGAGGGTCAGCTTTAAAGGTAAAAGTGAAAAAGTGGTTAATTTGAAATATTGTCAGGAGATATACACTACTATAGCTGCAATCATTTGTGTGCTCTATGATAAGGGAATGCCTCTCACATTAGAGTTATATGCTATAGCTATAGTGTTTTTCAGGCAGAATGGAGAGCAACCTGGGACTAATACATGTCACATAGAAATACTATAAAATACACTATTCAGCTATTTTTCTATGTCAGCTTAATGCTGAGTATGATGTAGAGCAAGAGTGAGGCTGATACCTTGACTGTTTGCTAGGAAATGGATTTTCACAATTATTAAGCCAATTTCTCTCTTAGGATTTCAGTCTATTTGCATGAAAACCAGGCATAGTAGCTTTTACCGCCATAAACTCTGAGCCTCCATTATTTTCACAAGATTATTCACGTCACTATTATAGAGGTAATGCTGCTAAGCCAAAAATATTCGAATATATTCTTGGGTAATGAAATAGGTAAAGGAGTAACATACTTTGCAGGTTGGTGCTGAAGTCGGCTGGGCTGCTGTAACGACCGTAACCGGCCACTGTTCGGGCACGGACCTGTACCACATAAGGCGTACCGGTCTTGAGACCTTCAATACGGGCGTTGCTTCTTTGGGCAGTCATGGTATGGGCAATGGCCTCACCTTGATCCTGCAGAGGCAAAGACAAACAGTGATGAGTTCAACACCGAAAAAGCAGTCACATGTGTCCAAATCATCATCACCCCGTCCCTTACACATACATCTAACCATGCAGGCTAGAGGAAAACCAAATAGAGAAAAGAGTAAGATAAGAGGAGAGAGACATATTTTGGCTGGCGTGTTAATCCACTGTGAGGGGGACATGACAAAAAACAGAGCAGATATACACTGAGTGCCTTTGACCTCTCCCAGAGGCAGATCCAGTCACAAATCTCTGGAAAGCTGCTGGAAAATACAGAAACGTTCTAATTCATGGATGAGAGAGGAAGGAGGATAAGAAAAGGGCAGAGCATATTAGAAATAGGGGAAAGAAGTTAGGGGATGGAAAGAGAGAAAATTGAAGGAGGGATTGAAAGAGAATAATTGGAGGATGATCACACAAGCTAACATAGTGAATGGTTACTTGCTTCATTGCAACCATGTGTTTATCAGCAAAAGCATTGTTCCCACATTTACAATAACACAAATGAAATTGAAACCATGCAATTCAATGTAATTGGATTGAATTAGAGACATTGATTTACATAGCTTCTTACCTTCTCATGGTACTTAATCTCATAATCCAGAATGATTCCGTTGGGTTTCTCTGGAGGCAGCCAGGACAGGCTCATGGTGCTCGCTGTGGCCGCCATCAGGTGAACTGTAGGCACTGCAGACGGAGCTACATAGGGTGAAACAAATAATGGGAAATTAGCTACATTTGTCATTTTATGTATTTTCAAGTTCTATGCCCTTTGTATGTCCAAAGAAGCCTAAATACAAAGTCTTAGACTGTGGGCTTTGTGAAAAGCTTTGGCCAATAGTTAGTATGCAGACCCATTCCCCACTAATGCTCAAATTCTCCCTCATTAAGTCCTCGGGGAGGGAGAGGGAATGTCTACTTCTGTAGTGACAAGAGAATCAAATGCAAAAGTGATTGACACTCTGGTACATGCAGTTCCCTCTAACATACACCTACTGTAGGCTAGCTAATAGGGGCAAGCACACACATACAGATGTTGAGTTTTATATTTTCATTACTTTCTTGCAAACTACGCTTGCAATTTTGCATCTTGCAGTTTAGTAGTTTCCCAGCTAATCCTATGCATTATGTACTGTCCTTACATGTACTGTTACCTCATGAACGCTGTACAAACATGATTTATATTTTATGCATACAAGTAGACATTGGTTTGTGAATACTCGCACAAAGAGTATAACTCACACTTGAACTCCACCTACCTGAGCTTTTTATTCTTTGTTCACATGTGCCTATTAACGGCCAAATGTCTGCCTCCCTGTCTCTCTTTCCAATTGTTTAAGTTCAGGCTTGTTCTGTACCTCTGACTCACTCACTCCCCTCAGTCTATTTCATAGCTTTTGTTGCTTAAATTCAACCTTCATTCACTATTTGTAAATTATCTTCAAAAAAAGTTCCTCAATCTTTACAATACTCACACAATTACACACTTTAAATTACATTTTCTACTTCAGCTATTCACTTTCATATTCCTTTTTGACCACTGCAGACCTCCATCTTCGCTCTGTCTCAGTCTCTCTCCCTTCCTTCGAGGATTTTAATCCCCAGTTTTAAGTTCTTTCATCCTCCCCCTAGCATTTCCTTTCTCCCTCTGCTGCCTGCATATGTGGCCAGACATCTCTCTATTTCTTTCTCTCTCTCTCTCTGCTCCCTAAACCTTCCCTCCCCTAGCTTTCCCCCCATGCCATCCACCCAGGCCCACCACGTCTCTCTTTCTCCCCAGAAGACAATGCTTCCGAGGCAGATCCCCTGGTTACTCTAGCCAGGGGATTAGGGGCCCTCCTCCAGGAGGAGACGTTGAAGTAACCATGGAGGTGGCCCCCAGGGCTTATCACCGCCCGCCCTAGTATTTATTTTGGTTCTTAAAGGTGAATGCACATGCAGGGATGGTCCTGGGACTACACCACCGGATAATCTGATCACAGTTGATGCTCTCTTGCCCCCTCCTTTTTCCTTCACTCCTCTGTTCGCACCCAACTAACCCCAAGCATCTATGAATGGACAGTGGTCCCTGTCAGCCTAGTGCTGAACCTCTTGTGAAACAATAAGGCCCTCGCGTGGGGCCCTAGACCCGTGAACAGAAGGCATTCCTAAAGCATTTTTTAGGAGCAGGAACTCAAGGTTAGAGGTGAGGAGGACAAGGCCATGGAGGAAGAGAGAGATGATGGTGGTAGGAGCAAGGGATAATCCTTGGTGTTGTCTAAGCCTGCAGAAATAGCCAATTTAACAGAGCCACTAAACACATCCAAGGCACAACTTAATAGCCTTGGGATAACCTTAGAGACCAACTGACAATATCTCCAGTGTATAGTAAGATCCACAGTAATGAAATGTATTAAGATCATTTAGTTTAAACTTAACCAACTAAAAGCAATTTCAGAAATTATTCATATTTGTTCACCTACCTACCTCCTTACTTAATTATCAAGCCACATACCTATCTACCCATTTTAATGCAAAGTCATTGGCCTTGACATTTACATCGTAGATGATCGCATGCAAAAGCTTATTATTACTACCCTTATTTATTATGTATAAAAATGTGCTGATCTTCTGCATCTAAAAAAAATATATCTAAGGAATGATTTTGGCCCAGTTACTGTGGGCTGGAGGAGCGGTGGGTTGGAAGCCGTGGGCAGCTATAATACTGAGGGTTCAACACTTTGAATACACACTGCCTCGCTATTGCTATTTGCAGCAGTGTTAGTACAGAGCATGCTGTGGGCGTGTGAAAAAGGTCCCTTTCTAAACTCATTCAGAAGAATGTCTTCCATCTCAATCCCTGTTCAAAGGGAGAATATGTAACACACTCCTACTACATACATAGAAGAAATTGATCTGTACTTCTTAAGCGCAGAACAGATTCTCTGACATTCTACTGTATTTCTTTCCAGCCTTTGAAAGTCGGCAATGCCCACAAGTTCAATATTGATCTGACAGGTAAGCCATGAGGCTGCGGCTGCACCTACCAGCCTGATTTGTGGTGATGTTCGCTGAAGAGAAGTGAGGTGAGTATGGGCTCTTGTTGGAAACACCGTTGACTGCCTGAATCTCGAAGCTGTACTGTGTGTGGGCTTGTAGGTTACGGACAGCCACACGGCGCTGGGTAAGGCCCAGGTGGCGTGGTGAGATGTCAACGTTGTCGTCACACCGCGAGCACATTCCCCGCTCAGGCAGGCACTTCTTACAGATGACGTTGTAGAAGATGTCTTCACGGCCACCCAGGTCCCGAGGGTCGCTCCATTCCAGCACAAGTGAGGTCTCGTTCACAATGGATATTACACTACGTGGTGCAGAAGGAATAGCTGCGAATGGGAAGTAAAGTGCGGAAGAGATGAAGAAAATAGTTTTAGTGAATTTAATCTCCATGCACAATAGGTGTTAAGAAATGTTTCTTGGTGACAGTAAAGAGACATAATGACAATAGATTAAAATTGCAAAACACAGTTTACATATTATTATACACAAATACATTCATTATTTCATAGCCGCGATCAGCATAATTCATAACACAGAATTGTTCCTTTGCTGTGGTATTAGCACATTTTTTCAAGAATTAACTAGAACATTTTTTGCTTCCACAAAAAAGAGAGGCTGTTCCAGCATTTTTTCCAAACAAGAAAAAATAAGAAGAGGAAAGGAGTTCAAATGAATTGCATGCTCATTTCCACTGTGTGTCTGTTCGTGAAGTGCTGGGGGGGGCGAGCGAGAAAAACTATTGGCAGAGCTTTTGCAATTCTTATCCAATTACTGGAGCCTTATCTCTCACTGCACTGTGGGAGAATCAGCCCTCCACCCCAGCAACAGAAAAAAGGATCTTCTTCTCTCTTTACCAGCAAATGAATTAGCTTTTAACGTGTGCATGTTTGCTCTTAAAGAAGGGACTGCTAGGAATTTTCTTCCACTGTCTGCCTCTAAAGCGATGGCAGCATTGAGAACAGATTGAGAGGCAGGCGGGGGAAGGGTTGGATGATAAGGTTTTGGATAACGTTGGGAAAGCAAGCAGACTTGTTTGCCATTCGTGAGGCCTGGTGGGAACATACTCCAGAGGGCTTTTATCAGCCATAGAGGGCACAATTCAAAGAGGGAAGTTTGGGAGAACATTTACCACACAGTCAAGAATTCTGTTGAATAGCAAACAAAACACTTGATTGCTGTCTGAATATTATGAGGTGTAAATCTGTTTTTCAGATTGTTTTTCAACAAATTGTAATTACAGCATCAGTATGAGTTTAAATGCTGTTGGTATTCAGTCAATTTAAAGCAGCCTGTACTTACTGGTGCAGGGGGACTCGGGAGCATCACTGTCTGAGCGGTAGAACCCGGTTCGACAGGAGCAGACGCTGGAGGCTCCTGAACTGGCACGGCTGTTGGCCGGACAGGGCGAGCAGAAGCCATCACCCTGCTTGGACTTAAAGGTGCCAGGGCTGCAAGCTGATGGAAAAAATAAAAGATGGAGGAAGAAAGGTGTGAATAAGTAATAGCATACAGCATATAGCAATTTGTATGGGTCATGTTATCCAAATGGGCACTGTGAAATAAATGAACAAAATGTTACTCTCACTGATCCTTAGCTTTAGCAAACAACTGTTCACAACAGGTTGTAATGTCTTAACTAAGCGGGATAATTCTGTATTAACACGGTTCCAGTTCACTAGTAAACATTTCTAAAACAGCTAACTTTATGTGTTAAGCATGTGTGTTTATGTGTGGACATGCACAGGATTTGTATTTTTCCTCTTAACCCCACATGTTTCCTGTTTTCCCTTATGGAAAAAAGGTACTTCAACAAATTGTGTTGAAGAAAAAAAAGTGTCAAAGGAGAGGGTTTTTTAAGCAGTATGAAGCTGTCTGCACAAATGCTCACATGATGAGATTGTATACCGAAGTTACACAAACAACCTTCAGAACCGAACCCTGGCATGTGCTCTCTATCTGATTCCAGTACTTTATCGAATACATATCAAAATGGACACATATCATCATATAGATACACACAACACCTTGAACACAAACACCATCCTGGACACAAGTCTCTTCAATGTGCTTGGTGTTATGAGGTCTGTCTCTGAGATGATTGCCCTAAAAATACCTAAATAACGTACCTTCAGCATAGTTTTACCTTAAGTAGTTCTTGATTAGTGAAGCCAAGTCATTAGATGTAAAAACCCTGCTGGTCTTTGTTGGTTCAGTATATCTGTTTATGGCCGCTGTTTGGAAGTTTACAGGTGATAAGTTGCAGACACTGCAGGCGGTAAACACTGAAGCGGCACTGTGATCCAGAACACTGGCCGACTTCATATCTTTGATAAACTGTCTTGTTAAAAGATAAATGAGTTTGCCGCATTGCTTCATAAAAAGAGACGACAGCAGGTAAGACAGGCAAAGTTTACAGGGTCCAGTTGATTAGCTGACCCACTAGTGCGTTAACTCGTCAATGTCAAGGACACACTGCAATGTTTGTCTCCCTGAATGATAATCATCTCTAAAGCTCCTACGTTTGTTTTTGCTTCATGTTGAAAACAGCAGGTTTGAGGTCACATCTACAGCCCACCAGTTCCTGCCCTTGCTTTTTCCCTGTTGTTCTTTTTAAGTTCAATATTAGCACAAAACACCTAGTTGACTGCACCGTGTACATTAGCACTGAGTGTATTTGTTCTTCCACCATTAATCAGATTCATCCACACCAATGGCTAACAGGAAGCACCGCTTGATAAATACAAATGACCTTGAGTTTAACCAGGTGGTAGAACTACTTCTTCGATTCGGTGTCAACAACCATGCAAGTTCATCTGAGTTCACACAAAGTAAACTTCAAGCAACTTCTGAACTCTCAAGGGATAAGAGTGTTCATTTTTGAACATGTTGGCCTGACGAAAGATGTTGATGGAGCATTCCCATTTAAATACGCTTTTTTTTAGGGAAAGGCTGAATGTGCTGATCCATCACTTCCAGTGAGTAAAGGGGTCATCCTCTTCCTTTCATCAATGTTCCCCTTAGAGGAACTGCTAAAGAATGAGGAAGAAAGAGAGACAAGGGCTAGAGAAAAAGGGAGGGAGAGGTGGAAGAGGTGGAGGCATAGAAAATGCTAATCCTGCAGGCTCTTTCCCCCCGTTCCCCACTCCCCTGTGTCTTATCCTAAGCTCGATGTTCATGCAGAACATAGAGCTTAAGGAACTGATTAGAATGTATGCTGAAATTGGAAAGCGTGGAGCATGAAGAAAAAAGTAAAAATATTGGTGGAGAGAAATATGCAGTAAACGAGCGGAAAGGCAAAAAAAAAAGCCCATCGATAAATATTAATGCAGGCATCCTTACTGTAACTGTGATGGCGTATTAATGAGAGAAATACTTCAGATTAGGAAAGAACAGAAGAGGATAGAAAGAGAAAGCAATGGTAGAAATAATTGAGTATGGAGCGTGGACCTGAGGGGAGGTGAAGTGAGAAGAGAAGAAGAGAGGGAGATTTATCCCTTGTGGTTTCCAGTGAGGCTTGATTAGAGAACATTTTATCAGGACCTAGTCGCCAGGGCTTTCACCTTGAGCTGCCAGGAGCAAACAAAATTGTTTTTAACCACATACACCATGCTTTAGATTTACTACTCTCTCACCCACATACACACTCTCCTTCCAAAGGTGAGCACACATATTTAGGGTGTGCCAGAAGCTGCCATTGTAAAGCATCCACCAACTCTTTGGCTAATTAATAGTATGAGCACTGAACTTAAAAGCTCTTCTCAGCCTCACCTCTTACTGCTAGCAAGGAGAAGAATGAGCCCTGTGAACCAAGGCAGACAATCCACATATAAACTGTGCATTCACAGACACCTTGCATTAAACCCTGCGGATCAATAAACCTGCCAGCTCCCCTCTCTCGCTATCTCTCTCACACTCTCTAACTCATTCCGCTGTCTCCATTTGACCTATGCACCCTAAGCCAAATTGTACGCCCCCATACTCCTCAGCAAAGAGACATTTTTCACGTATCCCTCCCTCTCTTCCTGCTGTCACCTGCACTCCATTTAAGTTGAAACCAGTGCTGTTTAAATTCACCTCGCTTTCAACCTCTGTGAACCCGTCATGTTTTCCAACTGACCTGAAACCATCATAGGCCCTCTCAAAAACAGACAGCCTCCCCTGAATCTCCATTTATTTAGTAACCAGCTGCCAGGCAAAACTAAGGTCAAGTGAACAGCCCCCTGCTAACAGTGTCATCTAGTGTGCAGTATTCTACCTTGTGATCATTGGATTGATGTGTCCAAGAACACAAGACATGTAAATGCTGCAGCTGAACTATTTAGTGATAAAGAAGATCTAACCTGTAGCCAAAACAATACTGTTTTAATCTCTCCGACAATCACTGTGTGAGGCGTCCTTCAGCAAGACTTTGACCCCTTAGTACTCACTCATTGTTATTCACTCTGCATAGAACCATCAGATACCATGTGCCTAAAATGCTAATGTACTTTTCACAGCAGTAATAATGTGATACATTATTGATCGCCATGGGGAGATCCTCCCAACTCCACCACCATCTTCCAGGAGGGGAGAATGTGGAATGAGCTACAAAAAAGTGCAGCTAACATTTTAGCTTGAATCCTTTGTTTCCTGTTGGAGTATGTGTCTGTAACCTATGGCAAACACTGAATGTAAAATCATGGACTGACCAAAAATACCTGTTGTGAAAACACTCACCTTGACATTGGGTGTCCTTCATGGCTGGTTCAAAACCAGACGAGCAGGTGCAGGCTCCCACAGGAACCATCCACTCTCCGTCTCCATTGCAATAAAGCTTCAATGGCACAGACACCTCCACGGCATTGGGGACACAAGTTCCCGGGGCAATGACCAAGGAGGTTGCCTCAGCCCCAGTTGCTGTCTCTGGGAAAACGGCGAAGTTGGCGATGGTGGTGGAGCACTTTTTGTAAAAGACCCTCACCGAGATGAGCGACATGCAGGCACCAAGGTCCTGGAAGGCCAAGTAGATCCCAGCTTTGGACAATGGCCCGAAACTTCTGACTTTTGTGTTTACCCGCCCAGTTTCAAGCATGGAAAAGCTCTCATCTGGAGCAATAGTGTCCACCTTCACATATGGGTTCTCCATCCAGAAAGGGCTGGTGGCTGTGGCTGAGTCTGAGTCAGACTCATAGTAGAAGTGGTTGAAGGTCTCTTTGCAAGAACCTGGGATGTTAGGAATGCTGTTGCAATCACGCACTGTGAATTTCATCTCCACATATACACGCAGCACATCCTTTCGTGGGATGAAGTCACTGCGTAGCCAGTTATTCTGGTTGAGCTCACGTACATTGCAGACTTGGTAAGTCCGGATGGGGTTCATGGCATCATCATAGCCACTCACCTCTTCCCACTGAAAAGAGAGAAGAAGAGAAACATAAACAGGTCAGAAGATGTAAAAGTGCCATATCTTTGGCATATACACGTTGGGGTCAAGAATGTATGTACACATTGCATTACAACTTTAAGATGTACATTCGGTCACGTTGCATGATAGAGGAAGAAAAATGGGCAGAGGTAAGGACTCAGAGAGAAAGAACCAAAGTGTAAGTTAGTTTTTCATTTTTGGCCATTTTCAATTACTTTCCTTTGCCTTTGTCCCATGCTACGCTTTTCATCTCTGGTTAGTGTAGTGAATAGCCAGGGACAAGGACTGCAAATTCATCTCAATTACAGCAACCTGTCACCTCTTCACCACAGAGCCACCAATGCATGTGTACCTCATATCTGTTTGGAAGGAGCAGCCACATTGCTTCACAACCAATTACGCTTCAATTACAGAGCAATGATCGCAACGTCCTCTAATGAAGACGCCGGTTAACCTTCATGATTTCCGTTTTTTACGCTCCTCTACGTCTTTCAATGCTACTACAGTTCCCAGGGGGTGAATTACTCAGGATAAAATGGGATTAAATCTTCTAAACTTTGATTACCAGCTTCATTAAATGAGCACAAGCAAACTAGACTGTAAAAGCTTCGCAGAGAGACTGTAATCTAATGCATTTTTCAATCTCAAATGAGGACACGCGATTAAATCATTTCACTTCAAATAGCGATTCCTCTGTGTATAATATATCTTTGTGCGTGTATGCTCAGGGATCTGCTCCCTTTTACTATTAAACAAACAGAGTGCATTTATTTGTTTTACTCAAACCAAGCCCGGCCAGTTTATTTCCATATTACTTTTTTAAATGTGTTTTGCATAAGGCATGAAAATGCATTAGAGCATTTGCAGGACAAAGCGTAGGAAAATCTGATTGAACAAAATAAAGATCAACAAAGGTGTAACAGATAGAGGGTAGTTTTATGTAGAAGTATACGTTACTCGACATGGCTACAATATGTAGGTGTTAAAGGACATACACATTTATAACACATTAAAAGTTTATTGTTGCACTCTGGGGACCGAAGTTTGCTTTAGAACAATCTACAGTCTCGTAACTGTGGCGTAAAGACTCTAATTTGTTCTCCAGTGCCAGTTGGTTTTTATTTGCGCTCTGAGTATCTTAATTGAGGTTGTGATATGGATGTGGTGAAGACAAGGCTATTCATCCAAGACCCAGGAGGCCATGAGGGAGATAGGAAGAATGGGCGTAGCTTGGCCGTGGCATTAAAGCAATGGCTGGTGAGAGCGAAGGAGGAAGCGACCAGAGGGAATCAATAATCACCGGCCAGGTCAATGGGAAGGCTAAAAAAATGAAGTGTCAATGGGTATTTAGTTCAGTGTAATAAATCACCCACTGCAAAAGAGCGATCCAGCCAAGTGTTTGTGAGTGTGTGTATGAAGTTAAGCGCATTTATTTAATGTGCTTATGTGAGTCTGTCTGCCTGTGTGTGCACTCGCTCTGTGTGTTTGTTTGAGAGTGTGTACGTGTAGGTGGCTGTCTGTTTGTGTATTTGTGTGTTTAGAGAGAGGTCATCCCCCCGAGACACGCACCAGTGGCCGAACACTCTGAGCGCCTGCTTACCAAGCCTGAATGAATTAAGTAGGTCATGTGAAAAAGGGTCAAGTAACTTGCCATCGATTTCCAACATGATGAATTGTTATGCAAGATTTGCGATCCACTCCATTTTCTCTTTGTCCTTTCCAATCAAAGCATTACGTTTTACTTTCAGGTGACGATGAACAACGCTTCTATGACGCACTATCGTTGTCCTAGATGGTGTAAAGGTACGCTGCAAAAATATATTTTGCCACTTTTTGGCAAAACTATGGGACTTTCAAACAAACTACAGATATAAATAAAACAGGAGAAGGAGGTTGTGCTGCTGGAGTTTAAGATCTGTTAAGAATCCATAGATTAATTCAAGAACATTTACTTTTAGCAACCTTGGTGGCAACTTAGCTAGTATCATTGGCTTAAGGCATTAGCTAAACGCTGTAGCCCCAACAAGCTTTATTGTTTTTTAACTTTTCTTTTTGTTGTTAGTATTAAATAACTCTTGACATTTTTTAATTGTTGGCTACATGAAAATGCAATGTTATGTGTAATATTAAAGCTCTTAGAGGCTAATTTCGAAGGACATTTTAGATGTTACAGTGATAACAATAGTTATTATCATTGTAAGCTAAGTAACTTGGTATATTGTTATCATTGTACAGTTCTGGAAAACCCTGTGGTTGTCATTACAGGCCTGAGAGAAGCATTGCTATAAAGTGGAATTCCCCTTTCATGACCCATCTGTTTCGAAGGATAAATGATACAGTATTTGGACAAACACACAGACACAATACAGATAGACATAGTGAAATTGGAAATCCACACACATCTACACCAAGGCATGCATGATTCACGTATGCTACAGGGTATACAGACAGATGCAGACAGTGAGGCAGTGAAATCCACATACCAAAATGCAGACTCAGAGGTGAAAAACTAAAGAGAATACTTGTAAAAACACTCACACTCATAACATGGTATGTGAAGGCATTGCCTTGCACATATCAATAATTGAACGTGCTTTTACAGATAACTATTCGGCAATGCCTCTCTACACCCCATTTATACCAAGAGTGGTGGCATTAACAGTAGTGATTATATGCCATTGGTCTCTGGATTCACTGTTCACAGTTAATGTTTCATATGTGTAGCTTTATGTCTGGTGCTTGTTCTGTATGTGTTGTGCAACACTGTGATAAGCACAGAGATGCAGTGACTCAGACCAGGCTGGACAGCATCCCTGGGAGAGACTTTTAGACTTTTATTTTAGAAATTGATTTTCTTTTCTCCTTTATGCTGTCTCCCTCTCTCTACATGGACATGTCTGTGTATTCTATTTAATATCAGTATCACTGCGTACCCTTCCAGGTTTCTCAGTATGTAGCCTTTGAGCAACTGAATTAAAACATTTAAAAATAGGCTCTGACGCTTGTGTTGCGAGACCTCAAAAGCACATAAACACAGACACAATACTTTGTGCATAAAGTCAGAAAGAAAAGGGAGTTTATATTTATTCTTTGAGACGAACATAAAAGGAACGAATACAGGGTTGAAGGATGCCTCAGGATCAACCATCATTGGCTGCAAATTCTGCTACAAAAAGAGAACAGGAGAGAAACACATCTCATTCTGTTGGTGATTTGGGAAATCTGGGGTGCAAAAGGCTCTACACTGTATTTATATATATTGAAAAGGGGCATCTGTTGCAGGATTACTTGGAAAAGAAATGGGGAGGCATATTTTGGTTCTCTGCCATTCTGCACAGGACCGTTGGGAACATCTCTGCCTTATAGTAGCTTAACGATGAGGAGGGGGGCAGAGGGAGGCAAAGGGAGATGGGTGGGATGGTAAGAGGGAAGGACGAAGGGGAAGGAGAGCAGCAAAGGCTTGGAGGGCGTTTCTCCTACTGATTGCTGCAGCTGAGGTGGTGTGTCTGGCTTCATTAGTGCTTAGTTACTCAGAAGCAAAGGAAGGGGAGAATAAGGAGGGTCGGCGACTTCGAACAGCTGGGGTAGAATGTCCCTGCAAGTGTGTTGTGGTACTAACAAAGTATAAAAAAAGGGGCCCACCTTTCAAAACACAAGGGCCAAGTCAGAAGGCCACACAAAGGCAAGGGGAGGAGCACTCTGGGTCTTTGAAGTATAGCTGAGAAGGGTCAAGACTCTTTTTGCTCCTCTTTAGGCCATTGTGGAGACCACATAGGAAAGCAAGATGGGGCTGTCACTTTGTGTGTGGTAGATTTGGATGCCAGGGTGTGAAATGGGTCAACGGCCAGACATACTTTATTTTTTAAAGTTTATGAGGAAACTGGCATTTCCACATGTTTGAAGTGCACAAGGGCAAGACGAATGACCATCTGTGACTGGGCGGGTGAGTGCAATTGGATTGCAGTGTACCTTTTCTGCTCACTAAAAAGCGCCTCCTTTTTGAATTTCAAAACATATCCTGTTAAAAGACTTACTGATGAAGGTGTCGACGAGGACTGTTACACTTCCGAAGAGCATGCAAACACACTATATTCAGAAGCCTTTGTACAAACACTCAACACTGAATAAACCCCTTGGATACAAGTATATAGTCAAAGTACTTACCCCGGTCTCAGGGTGTGCAGTCCAGGCTAATTCTGTCGTCGCCCACTTCGTATCCATCAGCGTCTCTGTGAACGGAAGCAGAAAGATAACAACCAGGTCAGACAAAGAGGAACAGGGTGACAAAGAAGATCAATAGAACTTTCAATAGTTTTACAACAATGTCATAAAGCTTCTCAAACGAACCGCTGAAGAGATAAGAGGCTTTGACCAAAGCTGCTCTCAGATAACTGGGTGAATAACTGAATGACAGAAAGCTTACAGTGATTTTAGTCCTAATTACACCAAGAAGTACTGTATGTCTGTGTGTGACAAGAATACCTAAAGACAGTGAGTGAGGGAGGTCTTGGTGGGTGATCTGTGACATTTTATTGTGTCTCCTTGTCTGGCTAATTAGTCTCAATTAGACGTTTGCTTTTATAAAGGGGAAGGAAACAACAGCGAGTCTTGCTGAGAAACGGTTCCGCTTCCCACAGGGCACAGTCTCACACACACACACACACACACACACACGCACACGCACACGCACACGCACACGCACACATACACATACACACTCAATAACACCCACACACATACAACCAGTACAGGTTGTAAAACTTCACAAGATATATAACCCAACAGAAGGGTTGAATGGAGAGGGGGTGTTATAAAGTTAGGTGTCACAAAAGAGGAGCTCTTAAGCGGAACAAAGGTCAATACACTTCAGTTAGATTCCCTTTCTGTCAATACTTGAACACATACACACTTCAAGTAAACCTTACTTTTATGCCTGTCTCTTGGCACAAAGAGAAGCACACACAACGTACACAATACACACAAAATAGTGGACAGTGATATTTTCAGCAAATTCTTTTTTCAACTTTCCACCAACATGTTTCTACTGGCGAAGACAACGGCTTTGTGAGAGCAGGGAAGGAACACTATAAATGTCGAGTCTTTTACTACTTGGCGCTCACGGCGCAGTATGCTGCCACCGTTATTATCTCTACCGCTGTGCTGTTGTACAAGATAGTAAAAGATGATGAAACGGAATGGCAAAAAGTTTGAACCTTCCCTGCTCATGGAAGGAAGAGTGAACTGTCTTATTCAGTAGCAGGGGATGAATCTAAAGAAGGCTTACAGTCTTTGGGCGACCCGATAGCCAAGAGGTTAGGGTGCATAATGTGAGCAAATGCATCTCATTCCACTACTCTCTATCCCACCTTCACTGTCTTTCTCCTATCACTATCAATAAAGGCATAAAAAGTAACTCAGCCCACTTTGCTACTCTCTGTCTCCCTCATTCTTCTTTGATTTTTTTCCTCCTCGTAAGCTGACAGGAAACGGGATTTGGGAGCAAAATAAAAGAATAAACCCTAGGATTTCACCACCCCTTCTCCAAATACCTGCTGCCACCACTGCTGCATTCAGAAGCACGGGCAGGGACAACATGCAAATACCCTTGAACTCAGAGACCCCTTGTGAATAATGTCGACAAGGCACTACAACTGGGAATTCCCATCGAATTCCACCACCTTGTGTTTAGAGTGACATTGTCTCTGACATTTGTATGTGGCTATTACACCATTTAGAAAACATAACTCCAAGGAGAGTTTCTGCCGAAGGGAAATATCTTTCTTCGCAGAAAAACACATACAATCAGATTTCAAATGTAGCTCTGGCTTGTTGCCTTCAGGCAAAATGGTCTGGTAGCTTCACTGTGAGCCAGTTCACGCAGCGAGAACTGTTTCTCTGGGAGTGGCAATGGGAGCCAAAGTGAATATCATGCACTCACAGGATTTCAGAATTGAATCAAGCTCACAACCTTTCTCTCAAACAATCAGTTCCCTTTCTCACCTGTCAGTGTCTGATTATCTTTCTGTGCTGTGTGGCAATGCTCTCTTACAAATCATGAATTCAGTCAGCTTTTCCAATTTCTCTTTGTAACCAAACTCAATGAGCCACATTTGTCTCTTGAGCAAATAGGGGCCTACTAGTGTTTTCATCTCAGAAACAGTGTCAGTGCATATTAGCTGCGGGACTTCCCCTGACTCACACAATGACAGTGTGTTATCTGGGACCTGTTAACGACAGCTTCGCAGGTAAGTGAGCTGGTGTGTTGGAAATGATACACCTCCGCTGCCTGGTGTTTATTATTATGACTGGGCTGTGTGTATGGTGTGTTGGCCTGTCATTAGAGCTGGCCTTGCTGGAAATGACAACACAGTGAAACAATGACATAAGGGGACAGTCAAAGAGGGGGAGACAGGGATGACAGAGAAAAAACGAGAGCCGCAAAGCAGAAAGGGGGGTATGCAAAAAACACATACAAACACATGCAGTCTGACTCAGTAGTTTAGAAAGTGGATCATTCGGGAGTGCATGTGCAGCAGTAACCCTTCCCTTCTCGATGCATCTGCATTGTTAAACCTATGGGTATGTGCCTGTGTGTGTGTATTTGTTGCAAAGCTCTGTATTGTGCCAAAGTGGAGCACCAATCCAGAGTCAATGGGCCAGAGCTAAAGCAGTGAATGACCAGGACTTAACCTGGCCACTCCCTGTGTGTGTGTGTGTGTGTGTGTGTGTGTGTGTGTGTGTGTGTGTGTGTGTGTGTGTGTGTGTGTGTGTGTGTGTGTGTGTGGCAGGCTGTTTTGCTCATAAGTCTCCGCACAGTGTGTGTGTGTGTGTGTGTGTGTGTGTGTGTGTGTGAATAACACATCAGGCAATAGAAGCTCACTGTAATATTCATGACCGTGCAGCAAATTCAGACACCTTCACAGTCACAGAAAACAAACACGCACACACACATGCACAATAAGACACAATACAAACCAGAAAATAATGTGCTATATTCCCATGCACAAAGCAACCATTTCTGTGGGCCAAACCGCCAAACCTGTACTATATGGATGATAAAGGCTGACAGAGAGGCAGAGTAAAACAGATTAAAGAGAGAAAGGTGTGTTTTCTAAAGCAAACAACCTCTGAAAGCTTCTAAGACCATGCTGGCGGCTTGCCTAATGTGCCCAGTCGCGAGAGAGAGAGAGAGAGAGAGAGAGAGAGAGAGAAAAGGAAAATAGACAGATAGACAACCAGAAGAACAAGTTGAGGGAGAAATAGCTATTGTGTGACTTAGAGCCTCCCCCGTACAAAGAAAGTTATCTCTCTTGCCTTTTGGCTCGAGTCATTTCACTTCCCCCTTTACAATCCGACAAGTGTAAAATGAGAGATGGAAATATTCGAGGTTGGAGAGGGAAAATGACCAAACTGAGTAAATCAGACATGCAAATGTACTGCGGAACACACACACACACACACACACACACACACACACACACACACACACACACACACACACACACACACACACACACATACACACACACAGTGAGTGAGAATAAAGCATGCAGATGTGGGAGGTACCGCTGGCTCAGGATACACAGGCGGTTTAATCCATCTTCCTTGCACAAAGTTTCACTTCTTTCTCATTTATTTTCAATCTTCTTCTCATCATCCTTGTCAAACGATGGATCTAATTCCCAACCGTTTCACTTTCTCAATCTCCTTCTCTTCATACCCCCTTTTATCACTCACTTTTCCAACTACTTTCTCTTTCTTCCCTCTACTCAGAAGGGCTAGGTTTGACCCCTTTTCATTTGTCTTTATCCTCTTCCCGCCTCCTTTTCTTGTCTCTATATCTTTGCTTGTGTTTTCATGCTGTGTTGCGATGGATGTGACATGGGTGAACAGGGGAATGTTTTTCAACCTCCTACCGCTTATGAAGACTATTCAATTAAAGAGTCTCTGTTTGACTAACCTGAGGATTGCTTTAGTAAAGTGTTATTTATGATCGAGGTCAAATGCACCTGGGATAATCCTAACGAACATGGGGAGAAAATGGTAGGGTTTTGTTTTTTCTGCAAACTGTGCTTGTGTGAGAAAGATTGCAGAAATACAAGCAGTCTTTGAGTGATGATTTGCAGGCAAATACATAAGTACATGCACACACAAACACAAACAAACACACACACATATACGCAAACCCAACCCCTACACTTTAATCCTGTAATGACAGGGCAGGCCTAATAACAGGGGAGGGCACTAAAGCATTCGTCCCTATGGCCGCATCCAACACACACGCACAGAAACACACAGCACCCACAGTTACAAGCCTCTTAAAATATTTCTTTGTTCAAACAAGTAGACTTCTTAAAAGGAGGGAACAAAATACCAAAAGAGGAAGGGGAAAAAAAAGGCTATTGTTGAGAGAGAGGAATGTGTAGACGTTTCACAGGGCTAAATCCTTGGGTCGCAAGGAGCAGACAGGTGAGGGATTAAGCTTGGATCTTCCCGCGACTACCTTCAGCTTTTTAACATGCTCGTCTTTGTTAGTATGGACCCGTCAGATGACAAAAGAAAGATGATCTAAACCCAGCTAAAAGTAATGTCTCAACAACCTTGGAGATATGAGAATTAGAGTTGCAGTGCAATGTCTGAATTGTTAACGAAAAGCTCGTTTAATAGCTTCCTGTTAGCTTGATTTCATTCTATAAGCACACAACAAAATGGCTTCTTCTCACGCAAGCATTAACTGCTGAATTAATGAAACATGATGATACAAGCAGGGTAAAAAAGTAATAAAAAAACTCAAGAAACTTCAAACCCCCTAATGACTCCTTCCCGGAAAATCCTTCCCTTCAGGCTTCTCCACTAGTTAATGATCTGCTCCCCACCTCTTCTCCGAGTCGCTTTTGTTGTATTCTTCTACCGTCAAACAGACCAAACACATGGCAACCTGGCATGGGGTAGCCATTCCATTAACATACTATGTGGCCTGGTTGCCAAACACTTGAGTCTCTGTTTAGCCACAGAAACAGTGAAATGTGTCAACATTGAGAGCGTGGACCTCACGCTCAACTTATTAGCGCTATTAGCCTGATTGCTTTCAGTGCTATCTTTGTTGACCCGCTTTTGTCATCCAACGTGAAGTAGAGGCAGAGAAAGGGAAAGAGAGACACAAAAAAGAGAGCAGGAGGAGAGATTCTATTCAAATTTAAATTGTCCAAGAAGCCTTTTTGCCTTTGTG